TGGCGGCTCCTCGGGGGAGGGCCTTCTCTGTAGCTGCGCCAGCCCTGTGGAGCGACCTACCCGTAGAGATCCGGACCCTTCCCACTCTCTCGGCCTTCCGAAAAGCTACTAAAACCCGGCTGTTCCGGCAGGCCTGGGGCTGTTGAACAAGGTCCAGCCCCACTTAAATGGAATGTATGGTGTGCTGTTTTTTAAATTATATCTCATGTTATTTTTTAATTCTTATTTTTATCTTGCTGTAAGCCGCCCAGAGTCCTATGGGATTGGGCGGCATACAAATTTATTAAATTGCCAAAATTGCCAAGAAAGGAAGGAAAGAAGAGAAGGAAGAGTGATGGAGAAATGGAATGGAAAGAATGGAGAGTAGAGAAGGGGAAGGAAGGGAGTGATGGATGGAAGGAAGTAAATAAGACATGAAAGACTGATAGGGGAAGGGAGGAAGGAAATAAATAAATGGGATCAAATTTGACTTCCACAGACCACAAACATATAGTTTTCATAGCAAAAATATGGAAGTTTGCAATTTGGTCAAATGAAAAGCGAAAGCTGATTGGTCGGTTTAAATTCAACTGTTAAGGGTCTCCCATTAACCGTCTTCTTCAGGGAAGGAAACCGCCATTCAAAATGAAACCACCGACCAGCACATGAAATGAAAGACATCCTGCGCAACACAACCCCCATATCCGCGTCTTGCGGAAATCAGTCTCATTTCAACTCCCTGGGCCAAGGCCTAAGGCGAACCTCAATTTTTAGCGCCTCGTTGAGGGCCACCAGGGTAGGAGACGCATTGAAGAAGAGCTCTGAGGACGGTTCCATTTTCTACCAGTTAATACAAGCGTCATAAAATGAATTTTTTTCCAACCATCGTTTACGATATTCGCTATCCACGCTTACCTGTTTCGGAGAGCAGCTTCGTTGCTTCCAACACCTTCTCGGTATAAACCCCGGCTTCATAGTTCTCCATCTCGGCATTGATGATGTGGATAACCCTGGCGGCGCGTCCTCGAATCGCCCCCGCGGTCCTGTCGAGGGTGTCGACGTCACCCTCTTGCAACGCAATCACACATTTGTTGACGTCCTCCAGAATGTGGTTTTCTGTCACAGAACAGGGTCTCGGTTATTCATGCACATGGGCTTCCTTCAAAGGACATACTACCTGTATTCCTGCGTTGGGCGGAGACATAGGGAGTGGGACAAAATTATCACGTGAGATTTAGGGCCAGACTATTGTGGCCCGCCAATGGCTAGCGGAGCTGGCGGCAGATTCGGACAGTAAGGAGGTTGGGGAGGATAATAGCAGTAGACTTATATACCGCTTCATAGGCCTTTCAGGCCTCTCTAAGCAGTTTNCGGAACCCTGTCCAGGGTCCTCCACATCCTCCAGAGCCGACTCATAGGGCCCCTCGTTGTCGGAGTCTGGTGGCAGCTCCAACGGCTCCTGCTGGACCACAATACAGTTCTACTTTCAGCTTCATATAAAAACAGTCTCGTCCCAAATGGGAGCTGAAAAACTGAATTATGCAAAAGAAAGCACCTAACTGGCATTGAAATGAAAGGATTAAAAAAAAAATAGACCTGAAAATTATCTCCAAGTTTCATAGATCAAGAATGCAGTTCATCGGGAGGTAGGCAGCTAACAAATTCAAACAAACAGAAATATTTTTATACCTGGTCAATTAGCTATACTTACGTTACGTAGATCCGGTGTCTTCTTAAGGGCAGGGAGTCCTCGGCTTACACCATTCCTTTAGTGAACGATGTTATAAAAGTGATGAGATTTTTTTTCACGCTTATGACCCTTGCAGCGCCATGGTCATATGATCAAAATTCAAACGCAAATGTATTTATGACAGTTGCAATGTCACAGGGTCATGTGATCTCCTTTTTCGATCTTCCGATGTTGTAACTTGGAGCAATCACTAAATGAACTGTTGTAAGTTGAGGATAGGGGTGGGTTCCGGCCAGTAGTAGCTGGGAGCAGCTGACAACATACCGGTACGATGGCTCGTTTGGCCCACCCACCTGCCCTATACCTGTTTTTAAAGCAACCAGCCAATTGCGCCTGCGCACACAGCGTGCGGCGCCTGCGCAACTTCCAACAAGCAGCTGGGTGTCACAGGGGCGGTGAAGTACGCACGCGAGCACAACAACGCACATGCACGAACAGGACACTTGACCCCGTGAGCAGCGTACCGGTAGCGACGGGGAGAGGAACCCACCACTGGTTGCGGACTATCTGTACATTTGGGGGAAGAGTTATTACACAATCAGTGAAGGACTGGCCCAAATAAAATACCTCTTCTGAACATCTCTTTGGTTACTTCATCCTGGCTATAAAAAAAAGTTGCATAATTCACCCAAATGTGAGTGATGTTAAAAAGCTTCTCTATGACATTACTGTTTAGTCCTCGTAGTTACGAATGACAGCCAGGGGGGAGCTACTGGAGGAGCTACTACGGGGACGTCTTACCTCTCCTGCGCCACCTCTCGAACTGAGGCGTGTCCGCCGTCCGCCCGCCTACTTACACAAGTATGTCTGCGCCACGTCCGGCGCATGGACCCTCACTGGGGGGGAGGGGGGAAGAGGTGTTTAGTGCTCGTAGTTACGAATGACAGCCAGCAGCAACAGCCAGGACACGCTTGATTGGCTCTGGTGTGGCATGGCTGAGCGCGGGCTGTCAGACGCGCGGCTATTGGCCTCCTGACAGCTCCGTATAAATAGCTGTCAAGCAGGGGGGAGGTCCCTGTCTACGGCTAACTTGTCTGTTGTTCAGTTCTGTTAATAAACTGCTGTTGACTTACCTCAGGAGCCTCCTGCCTCATTCCTTTGGGGAACTTATCAATTACCCCCCTTCCCCCAAAAAAAGCTGAACATTCAAGCATTAAATATAAAAACACATTTGAATTTTATTGCTTGAGGAATACAGCATTTGAAAAAAGCACAAGAATGACCGAAAGGAAAAGGTTGCAGGGATTCAAACTTTTATGATACATGCCAGATGCAGTAAAATATTAACCTGAACTCTGCACCGGAAAAGAAAATGTTCTTGCTTAAAAAAAAAATGTTTCATTTAAAACAGGAAGAGTAAGGGTATCATAGTACAGATTAGAAAGGCCAACACTGCACATTTAACATAGTTTCATTAGCCTAGTGTTTCTACCTTTGGTACATCAACCTTTCATGACAACTAGATCTTGTCCCAATACTTATAACAAGTTGAACTCATCTTTTTTTTCCCCCCAGCTTAACATTCAAACTAACACACTTCTCAATAACCAGTGTATAAAATAATGATGCAAGTTAATTCATGGGAAGCCCCTTAGAACTTAAATCGCAGCCAGGCCTTTAATTCGACGTCTAATTTAGTCTTCCGCTTTGCAGATAGGATGGGTTTTTTTGCCTTTCCGTTGCATGTTTCTGGAACCATCAAAATCTTATCGTTTTAAAAAATGTTCGATGTATCCCTAGGCAAGACCTGAGAACTGCACTTTTCCTCTGCAAAAAAGTACCAGAAAAATATGAGGTGTTTTTTTTTTCAAGTATACTGTCAAATTGTAAATAGCTATCTGAGTACTGCTCTTTTTTTAAAAATAAAATAAAAAATCACACCCTAAAAGATATTCCTTATTCAGGTTTCGTCGGCCGGCCTAGACTTCCCAAGCAATCAAATTAAACTTTGCAATTAAATTGTTATTTAGTCCCCCTATATGAATGTAGACGTCATCAGTCTGACAATAGAAAGCTTCTCTATTGGTAGGCTAGCTTGAGAAACTGTTAACATTGTGCTTGACGACAACACTTTTAATAATCAGAATTAAATAAAAATTCCTCTGACAGTGAGCAGGCTCACTAATTCCAATATTTGCTTTCGCGGTCCTATTTTAAGCATTCCTCATCAAACGGGAATTAAAAACAAATCCGTTCTTCCAAATTTTTACTTTTCCTTCAAGTAGCATGTGCATTATATAACATGTTTTAAGACGATGCTTCTAACCCCCATCGACTGTTAAAAATTAAACAGCTTTTAAACAAGAACCATTTTAATTCTCCAAATTGGGGAACGTTTGAAATGAAATACCTGTTTTGCTGAGAACACTGAATCAATATCGTAATAAAGTTCTGGGTTTTATTTTTTATTCTTTTTTAACCCCATACCAAAAAAAAACAAAAAACCATGTATCTGTACAACGGCTATTAAACATACATTTTTTCTAGTTTGGCAAAAATGTAAATTTCTCAGATCGGTGATATTAAGCAATGTTATTTATTGCCACGTATCTCTTTCCTTACTTAAAAGACAAAAAGAATTCAAAGTACACTGAACCTTTTGCTTTTTTTTCCTTTCCTCCCCAAAGCAGATTAAACGCCTTCTTCTATTTTAAAAAAAAAAACACAAATTAAAAATGTTTACACAAGATTCTATGGTTAAAAGGGAAGAGAAATGCAAGTTGTGAATTTAGAGGTTTCCGTATAAATTCTTGCTATGTTTTTTATAAACGTTTATCGTAACACTGTTTGATCAAATGAATGACGCACAGCTGTCTAAAATTTCCATAAACACCATTAAAAATCCAAAGTTGATATGATACTGAACCTTAAGTCCTCAAAAGTTCAAAAAGACGGTTTGGACATGTACAGCTACACAACAGCAGACGTCCCCTTAAAATACCAACGGGCTGGTCCAAAGGCGAAGAACAAAAGTTACAGGCAAAGCATCCAATTTCACTGGTTTTGTCGCGCAGGGAAACCTTATTTCTTGGTGAGGACTGAAGGCTCCGCCTAGAAACGTTTCATATGTCATCTTCGTCATCTTCATCTTGAGAAGATCCGGCCTGGTTGATTGCACTGGCAGAGGCAGCGGCAAGCTGGGCCTGTTGCGCAGCCTGTTGCATTTGAAGCCATTCCTGCTGGGCCAGCTCTGCCTGCTGTTGTCTAGCCTACGAAGAAGGAAAAGCAAGAATTAGAGTGTGAATTAATGCAGTGCAATGTATATCACTATATACCTGCCAGCTTTGGGAGGGGGGAAATTACATAGCTCGGTGGTTCTTCCAAACTTGGCAACTTTAAGACTTGTGGACTTCAACTCCCAGAATTCTCCAGCCAGCTCTGCTTAGAGTGAATTAATGCAGTGCAATGTATATCACTACTGCCAATTACCTCCACTCGACCAATTAGATCCCATAGATTAGGCCTCCTCCGAGTTCCATCTGCCGGTCA